CCACTGCTCTCTCTCTCTCTCTTTCTCTCTGTGTGTGTGTGTGTGGTGCTGTGTGTGTAGGGACACGGCCAACGGCATTCACGGGGTTTTGTCATATTTCGTCGCCAAGGACATCGGGGAGCTCCTCTTCGTCCACGTAGGCAACCCATCCCACCCACTCACTCATTCACCCACCCAGTCACATACACACAGCCAGGCAGGCAGACAGACAGGGAGGGAGAGGCTCATTTCGCCTGTCCCTCCCTCCCTCCCTCCCCTCCCTCCCCTCCCTCCCTCCTTGTCTGTCTCTGATACTCAGTTCCCGCCGACGTGTTTCTGCGCCATATTTTACTTCATGGTGGGTCTCCGCCCCGGCATCGTGTACTTTTTGAAGTTCCTCCTCATCTCCAACATCACCGTCTTCGCCTCGTTCGCCCTCATGGTCTCCGTCGCCGCCGCCTCGCCCTCGCCTGACATAGGGAACATCTTCATTGGGATGTTGATGGTCATACTCATGGTGGGTGAGTGAGTGTGTCGGTCAGTGTGTCTGCAAAGCGGATGTGTCTTGGTCTGTTGATGGGCTCTCTGTGTGTGGGGTGTGTGTAGTTGACCTCTGGGTACTACCTGAAGGACGGGGACATCCCGCCATGGTGAGTCAGGCAGACGGACACGCCGTACGATGTGGACTACCGTAGTATCCATGCCTTGTTGCTCCCTCTGGGTGTCTGTCTGTCTGTCTGTTTGTCTGTCAGGATCGCATGGATCAAGTACATCAGCTATATCCGGTGTGTAGTAAAAGTGAAAAGTGAAAGGAATGACAGACAAGAATGGTCCACACAGCACAGACAGACACCCCAGCCATCCACGCGCACTTTTCTCTCGCCCTCCCTCTCTCTCTCTCTCTCTCTCTCTCTCCTCTGCCTCTGGCTGCCGGTTTGTACTGTGTGTGCAGTTACTCTTTCTTTGGCATAATGGTCAACGAGTTTGAGGGCAACGACCGCTTCCAGGACGACATTGACGGCGGCGACGGGGTGCTGGAGTTCTTCGACCTGGAGAAACAGAACTTCTGGACTCTGTGCTTCATACTCCTCGGACTAGGTCGGCCTAGCCAGGCCCTTCAACACACACCCACTGTGACCCACACAAAGGTACCTTTGTGTGTGTGCAGGTGTGGGCTTCCGCGGTGTGGCGTTTCTGTGTCTGCAATACCTGAACCGCAAGCAGGGGCTGGAACTTTGAGGGAGGGAGGGGTTTGCTTCTGTCTGCAGTGTCTCTGCCTGCCTTTGCCGTGTCGGTGTGTATGTGTTGTTTGTTTGTTTGGGCGAGTTTGTTTGGTTCTGACACTTTCTGTATCGGTTTGTTCAAGAGAGAGATACACACAACACAGCCATCAGTCA